TGTTTTTGGAAGTGTAACCATTATATACAATAACGAACGGTGATATGCGCTATTATCTTTACTCGCAGTTCCTGGTAGATCGGTCGGAGGTGTTTGCTGGCGGCCTGAGTCCGCACCGTTTACTGCTTTGCCACTGCTATCTCTTTGGTAGTTAAGTAAATACATTAGGTGACGGGAAACGATTCTTTACAAAAAGGGAGATACGTCAGAGGGGGCACGTCAGAGGGAAAGAAAGGGAACACTGAGACACACCTACGACTCGTCCGCTCCGAGAATCACTCGCCACTCAATGTACAAGAAGACTTCAACAGCGAACAACTCCGCAACGCCTTTCTGACGTTCGACCCGGCCTGGGGCGAACTGAAAAACGGAAATCACAGGATGTTGGGGCGAAGAAACCGATCAATGGCCAATTGTACTGGCACAGCAGGCTTTCGAAAAAAGCCCTTGTGAAAACTCGATTGGTACCTACCTTTGTTTGTACTATTTATACTCGTATACACCGTGGTTTGTACCAGTCCCGTCGTCATCCGCTGGCCGCAGGCTGCTATTCAGCTGTCATAAGAATAAATGCGGATTGATTTTGATCAACACAATCGAATAGCCAAAAGTAACGGAGTATGGAAAAAGAATAAATGATCGAGTGGTGCCAAAGGCACAAACCCCTAATTAAAAAATCTTCGAGTCCCAGCCTATGCGGCCAAGCCTATACCTACCGAAGTAGATAAGCGATAGCCCTCGGTATTCAGAGGGCTCTGACTTCAACTACCTATGATAACCCTCGCCCTGGCAGGGGGGGGTCGATGCGACCCCCCCTAAGGTTTTTCGAAGATAGCGTAAAAACGGCGGCGCGCAGCGCCGGCCGCCAAATTTGGCACAGCCTATGGGGCAACCTTTTTGCATATGACCTGAAAATTTCAGGTCCGGGTGACCTTGGGTCAGGTCACCAGGTCAGAAAAACCGGCACAAGGTCATGGTCAAATTTCAATTTTCTTTTCGCACCTGTCCAACTCACAGTTTTGCACTGATTTCCTTCAAACTTTCAGGATGTGCTAAGGTCACCGAGTTGTATAACATATAGTTCGGGTTTTTTGAGGTCAGTGACCTGAGGTCAGTTAGAGCTAGAGGTCATTACGTCGTAATGTTAAGCCTATGGGAAAATACTAAATTCGGAAAATACTGGAGATATCCGCTTCGTTCTATCACTTTTATGCTTTGAAACCACAGTACTTAACAGCAGGTCACTTGGTGCTTCTTTGTTTGGATTACTTATCCATGGGTCAGGTCAAATGAGGTCAACTGAGGTCAAATGACGTTTTTGCCAATAACTTGGCACATAATGACGCTAGAGCTTTAAAAATGGTATCATTGTGTTCCTGGTGATCAGCCGAATCGAATGATATGCAATATGATGCAATTTGGGTAACTTTAACTTAATTTATTAATTTAAGTTTACTTAAAATTTAAGAAAAAACTTTAAGTACACTTAAGCAAGCTAAAAAGTATATCATTCGACGCGCCTTGACGTGCTGAGTTCACTGGTGCTTTTCTTTTTTGCTCTATCTTAATTAGATCAAAAGTTATAAACGAAAAACTTTTGACCTGTTTTTAGCGAAATTTTTACATTTATACCCCCCAAAACCCCCCTAAATATTGACCTAGAGCAACCAAATTTGCACAGGGGCGAGAACTCCAGGGGGCCCACCTACCTACAAAATTTGGTGTTTCTAGGTGCCATAGGGGCCAATCGCGAGGGGGGGTCGCATCGACCCCCCCTGCCAGGCCGTGTTATGAAAAATGCCCTGCCAGGGCGAGGGTTAAACATCATGTGCAATAGAAAAGCTAACGTTAGTCGTCAAAATGTGCTTTTATGCATTTTACGAGTTGGACTAAGGTGAACGCTCCGGTAGGGAGGAAGTCTATGTTATCACGTAATGAATTTAGTAGTCTCGACCTAGGCTCCTGTATATGGCAGTAATATGGCAGCTTTGGTAGACTGCAAACATTGCGCAGGTGATTCAAAACTCAAGTTTTACAGGCATATTTACGTCTGGACAACGAGTTGCGTTGGAGAGGCCGGAAATAGTGGCGATTTCAGGACCGCAAGAATGGACCGCCATTGGAATGATTCTTTTTGAAACCGTGCACTGTTTTCGGCCGGAATTTAATAGTTACTACAAAATATTTTGTAATTACGTTTCCACCGAGAATGAATGCTATCAGGGCTAAATTTTTACTACTTTTGCATTTTGTCAAGAAGCATATAGTGCTGTTATATTGCAGTTTTTGCGCGTTTGTTACAAAATATGAAGCGAATAAGCGTCAGTGTTATTCATCAGTGCCAAAAGTTAAAGGGACCCTCCCACCTTCAAAAAAGTTAATGAATTGGCATGAAAGTGATGTCGCTCGGTTCAGAAAGAGCAAAAACGAATATCTACCAAATTTCATCGAAAAATATTCACCGGTTTTCAAGGTATTAGACTTTTACTTTTGTTTACTTTTTGGGATCTCCGCTGTTCCTAGCGACTTTATTTGAAAGTGCGGCATTTGTTGCGCGCAAAGCAGCATATACCACCGCGTGCTACAAAACGTTTTAGTCAAACATTTAAAACTCGTTAGATATCTGCGATGACGTCACACATTCAGAGGGGTATTCCTAAGCATTAGCCCCTCTGAATCAAGATGCTGCAATTTTGAAATTCAATATTTCCGATTTAAGGCATTTCTCGATGTTGTGAGTGCCGAAACCGGTAATTGTGAGCCAGGGACCCCATTTTGGCTATCTCAACTCAAATCTAATGTTAAGGTGGGAGGGTCCCTTTAACTTGATGGGAAGCTATGCTAATTGCTCTTGTCCATCCACTAGAAGTTATTAAATATTTTGCTTTGTGTATTCCAAAAGGAGTGGGAACTATTTTATTTGTGCCTTCATGTCAGAATTGAAGGTGGATCATTAAATTTTGATTTTCAAGGCAGTTTACAAACAAGCATTTGGTCTTTCTCGGATATACCTAAGCAGTGGCTAAGAAGAAAAGGTTGATCAATCCTGAAGTTCAGTCATCGTACCTCAACTTGGCAGCAAGATCCCCAAGGACAGAGGTTATATTGTATACCTGTCCTGTAAATCAAAGCATTTTTGTGCCTGCAAAGGCTTAAGCTATTTGTGGTGTGTTCGGAGCGAGGCCATATGGCCGTTTTTGTTGTATGTTTATGTGGAGATTGAATATAACTGTGACCCTTTGCTTGTTTGTATACTTACTATGGTCAAATAGGGAACAGCACATTCACATAACATACTCACCTAGCACCTAACTCATAGCTGTACCCTGCAGGATCTGTACTTGTTCATGTCTCGAGCAAAGCACTAAAGTAGCTTTGTAATCATTTCCCACATTTTCTGAGCATCTAACATGACATACAGCAGTGCAGAGCAGCTTCAGAGAAGAAACACTTTAAATGCACAGACTCACACCAGCCACCCAATGAGCCAGTTCCTCAGTTGACTGTTTCCCTGGATGCAGCTTGGCAAGGTGAGCTAACTATAGGCAACTTGAAGGTTAGCAGGTAAGACTGAGTTAGGGTGAGTACCTACCTATAATAACTGGGTGCTTCTGCTATGCAGGTCTTGGGTAAGGCTGCAAATATGTGTGATGATTGAGGTTAGGTCAGCTGTCAGGTTATTCAGGTATGCTCATTGCTCAGGTCACATTTTTATGGACACTTGGCAAATTAAAAAACTAGCATAACCTAATCTAAGCTAACCCGACTAAACCTACACAACTGCTGACTATAGGAACTAAGCACCTACCTACTTGTGCCTATATCTCATACCATGTCAAAACTCAAAGTAGAGTTCCTTGGTGGAACATTACCCTCAGTACTTTTTATCCCAGCCCTGTGAAGAAAACTAATACTTCTAAGCTCTGAGTCACTGCTGGCCATCCACAGGAAGAAACGCTGAGACTGAGAGCTTTGCCATTGTATATTGGACCAACAATCATGAATCACTATCATGAATGACTATGAACACATCATATGATCACATCGCTGCATGGATTGTCACATTGACAATTTTATAACAATCCTTTTTTCAAGAAATACAGTAATGATTAACATCAAAATCAACATTAAGTGGATTTGGTGATCCAAGCTTTCTCCTCCAGTTGCAGTAGCAATGGAATGATCGCATGTTTCATTTGCCAGACACTGAGTACCTGATGCACATTACAATCTGCACAGCATCTAAGCATAGTACAGCTGCCAAAGTCCATTCATTCTAGATTTTTAACTTGATAGTTAGCACTAATTTATCTTGCTGTTGTAAGTTATCATTCAATATTCATACCAATACATCAATATGCACTCATCAGTCAACATTTTCTGGCATGATCCTGCTCAGCGTGCTCTTCAGTATTGCTCCAGGATCTGCAATATTATAGCTTGTTTTCGGCCAATAAGCTCTTTTAATTTTACTTTTTTTGCTGATATATGAGCCCGATCAACTAGTTGCGTTTATCAACCAAAATTTAATAACTTCAAGTTCAACTTGATATTGATATTGCTCAGGAGTCAGGACCTCTATCAGCCTCCTGGATACTTCGGATTGTTTTCAGTCACATGCTTCTTAAATATGATATAAGTCAATCTTAATGGATCCAAAACATCCAACAAAACGACGTAGGTACAAGAGTACGGAAACCACCAGATAAACTTAAAAAGCGCCTTGGAACAGAGCCAAGTGGTCCTCCATTTGCTTGTTTACAATGATTGTAGTGCTGATGTATTTTTAGGACTCTGAAGGTCGGCTTATAAAAAATGAAACGTTTTTACAAAAGTTGTAAGGCAAGTAATATTTATCGAAAAGAACTAAAATATTCAAAAGCCAAACACTATGAAATACATGAATCGGAACGAAAAAGTAACCCGAAAATCCAGCCTAATCACCGGCTCCTAAAACTGCAACAAAACCAGCACTTTTCCCCGCAACTCGTTGTCCAGACGTAAATATGCGTTTTACAGAGCCGATGCAAAAAGGCTATTCCCCCGAAGAATCGACTTCGGGCTGTGAGGGTGGGTGGCGGATGTGAAAGTTCTGTTTGCATTTGAAAGGCAATGGTAGAAGGGAGAGTACTAGTCTTTTTGGTCCTTCTGGGATGCATAAATGCAACAAAGCGACCGAATGTGTTGGTGTTGATGGTCGATGATTTAGGGTATGGCGATGTGGGTTGCTATGACAATGTTACAATCAAGACTCCAAATATCGGTGAGTTTTATTTATGACTGTGGTTTTCGGTTGGTAAATGTCAAGATAAAAAGGCTTGTTGAGATAATCTATCTTGACAGAAACCCTGTTTTCTTCAGGTGTTAGGGCTTATTTTGCAATCTGCAAAGCTGCTTTAGTGCTACTGAATCAGAATGAATCAATGCAATGAAAGTTGCAATATGAATATTGATATGAAATTTAAGTTTCGTTGTAAATGTGTAGATAGGTTAGTATTGACATGATCTACTCACCCACCATGCACCTTCACTTGCAGACAGTCTGGCGAGGGATGGTGCCCGCTTCACGCAGGCCCTGGCTGCTGCCTCCACATGCACACCGTCGCGGGCAGCTTTCCTCACTGCCCGCTACCCAGTGCGCCAAGGCATGTCTGGTGGTAGTCTTGGCAGAGAGGTGATCCTCTTTACTGCACAGAAAGGTGGCCTGCCACAGACTGAGGTTACACTGGGAAAGGTGAGACACTGGGAGTGGCAGAGCAACTTAGTAAACATGAAGATGAAGTTTGAGTAGATAAAAATCATAATCTAACCTGACTTAACCTTACCTAAAAACCTACTAAGCTTCAACCTACCAACCTGCAACCTACCAACCTGCAACCTACCAAACTGATCTTAACAGCATACAACCTGCCAACCCTCATACCATTTAAACTTTTTCTTCTAATGTACCAGCAAGTTTACATGAGATGGGATGTGGGGCAAGGCAAGGCAAGAGGTGTCTGATTCTTTGGGTCTTAGACTCTTATTAAGACAATGTTTCATCATGGATTTATGAATTTTGGGCTGGGGTTTTGAAGCTGACAGTTTTTTCCAGACTCCAATTGTCATGGTTCTTCCGTGTTCTTCATGCCTGCATGTCAGCATACTCATTGCATATGGATATGTGCATGTGTGTGTGCCCGTCTATCCGTGCGCTCTATGTCCGTGCTTGTGTATGCTCGTCTTCCCGCGCGCTCTGCATACTGCTAGTCCGCATTTCGCTGCCGTCTGATCCCGCATGCCCGCGCGCATGTGGCACGTCACACAATGACTGGCATAGACTCTGAATTGCTTGCAGGAGCCAAGGGCATGTCTATCTAAACAATACTGACTCAGACCCTAAGAGGATGGACTATAGAGGATGATGATATTCTGGCATCCTTTATCCCATCATTGCTCTGCTCCTGACTCCTGACTCTGACCAGAGCTGCTGTAGTTGACCTGACTCGAGCCGCCGCCCTTGAGTTGAGTCTATGCTGCCTATCTTCTTAGCATGATTGACGGCACACTGGAGATGATGTTTGCAGTCTAATATAATGATGATTAAATCACATGAGTAAAGGGTGGATAAGATTGCAACATACAAATGCATGTGTGTCCATGGAGAATTTCTGATTGTCAGGTCCTTTACGTGTGCCACTCAGGTTCTGCTGGAGCAGGGCTACAACACATCCTATGTGGGCAAGTGGCACCTGGGTGTGAGCTGCGAGCGGTACGGGGACAACTGTCACACTCCGATGGCGCATGGCTTCCAGTATTGGTATGGCATGCCCATGACCAATGTCAAGTGAGTTAACTGCCACACTTATCAGTGCTGGATTCCGTGTTGGAAATGAGGCCTCTTTCTGGTCCCGGCGTTTTATTCTCCGGGTGGGTTAACTCCGTCCAGCGTTTAGCCTTTCGGGACCCACTCAGGGTCGCGGTTGTTTTTTCCGCTCGTCCCAGTCGAGATGCAAAGTTAATAGTCACACGAAGCTTATTTAGGGCGAGCTAAACTAGCCTAGTCCGGAGTTACTGTTAAATGTACTGTATGCATATAGATGAAAGAAAAAGGTTTTGTAGAATCGATTAATTTCGAAGTCGTATATTCAGAGGCCACAAATAAACTTCGTGTGACTAACAAGGAGTAATATAGGTCGTAGTAAAATCTGAAAACATTCTCAATTGTGCGTAGTGTACGCTAACACGTGATGTCTAATGTTTAAGGGTCGTTTACTAAGCGGTGCTATCGAATAGATATACGATGGCACGTAAAATAACGGGTTATTTCTTTCGTGGACGCTGCTCTGACGTCCCATCTCCGACCTCGGCAGAGACTTTGGTGACGACGGCGAGTCTGTGGTATCGGCTCAGATGCCTAACTTCTTCCGCTACCTGTACGCCGTGCTGTCCGGATCGTGTCTGGCAGCGCTGGTGCTTCGCTCCCGATCCCGGTTCCTGTTCTTCTTGATGATGCTGGTGGCGTTGGTTGCCACATTGATACTGCTCTTTATTAGCTGCAACAAGATCTTCAACTCGATGATCATGAAAAATGGGGAGGTGAGAACTGAGTGACTGGCTGCTGGATTCAGGCTGAAGTGAACGGTAATGAATATACTTTTCACGTGAATGATGAGTTCGTTACAGGATTGAGTAATCACGGTTAGGTTGTTGACCGACCGAACTTCGGACAGATATCGCGTTACCGTAATCTTACACCGCATGCTGTCACAGAAATGGACTTTGATCGCCCAGCCCTCGGGTGTTAATGGACTGACCCTGTTAACATTTACGCTACTGCTTTGATAAAATACCCCATCTTTCTCCTGTACAGGTTGTGGAGCAGCCCATTCGTCTCGTGGGCCTGGCTCAACGCTTTGTGGCTGAGACGAAGGAAAAGTTGGCGGAATTCAAAAAGCAGAAACAACCCTTCTTCCACATACATGCATTCAGTAAGGTAAACGAGCTTTGAAACACACTGGAACATATTTTGTAGATGGTACGTTGTCATGCTATCTGAAGTGCACTCTTGTCATCTCAAAAAGTACATCTCAAAAAGTCTTATTTTTATTTATACCTTCTATCTTTTATATCTATTTTTTTATTTTTTTTTTTACTGGCTGTATATTTATTGGTCTTTTATTATATGTATACCTACCCGAGTGTGTCGATTTTGTACCTATGCATGTAACTTATTCGTTTTAAAAGGGATGCCATTTAATTGCGTCCCAGAAAAGCTATTTCTGGCACCTAAAAGCTGACTCGCCCCAAAATTGGTCCTCAGCACCTATTTGGTGGATACCAGCACCAATCATGGAAAATGACCTTAATTAGCTGTTTCTGGCACCTATTCATCGGTACGCCTTACTCTTTTTTCTGAATCTGGCACCTAAATGCTGAGCGTAGCACCAATCTAGTAGAAAAATGAACTACTGGCTGGTAGAATCATGTTGTTCTGGTATAATGACCCCTGGAGTCTAGCCTAAAGGTTGCCAGTGCAGCTACACTCTAAGACAGCCCCGTAGTGATCTCAGCATTGTATATGACGTTTAACCCTCGCCCCGTTGGGGGGGGGCCATTTTGGCCCCCCCCTGTGGTTTTTCCTGAATAGCAAGAAAACGGCGGCGCGCAGCGCCGCCAAATTTTCAGTACCTTCCCGGGCATCAATTTGACACCTTCACACCAAATTTCAAGTCTTAGGTCACCTTAGGTCAGGAGTTATTGAGGTCAAACTGAGGTCATGTTCGAGCAAAAATGAGCAAAAAACATGCAATCTTGAAACGCTCACCAAATCTACAGTTATCAAGCAATTTCAAAGTTCTTTATATGGTCTAGTAGACAAAAGGCGGCGCTACAAAACTGCTATCTCGGATTTTCAAAATTTTTGGTTTTTGACCCAAAAAAAATCAAAAAATTGATTTTTTTAGAAAAACTTTGAAAAAATCCAAAATTTTTCCGAATTTCGAAAAAACCGGAATATATGTGATAGTCCCAGCGCTCTTCTATATACATACCAAATTTCAGATCGATATCTCGTTTTTTGGCCAAGTTATAGCGAAAAAAAACTGTTCAAAAATGATGACGTCAAATTTTTGAACTCAATTTTTAGCAATTCTAGACCTCGTACGGCAAAACAAAGACCACCATTGAACTCCCCGTGACGAGCTGCATCGATTCGATACCCATTTTATGCAAAAATATCAACTTTGAAATTTGACCTAATTTGACCTGACCTTGACCTGACCTTGACCTGACCTTGACCAAAACGTGATCTAAGCTGGCCCCAAAGGCTGCCTGACCCATATAATCGCATTTGTCATGTAAAATGGACCATAAAACATGTATCACACGACACTTTCATATTGTGACCCCCCGTGACCTGACCTCTGTGACCTGACCTGGTATCAGTGACCTCAAATAGCAAAATATGTGTTTGAAGAACATTTCCCCATCGATGATTTTCAATGAAATGCATTTTACTCGATTTTACAACGCATTTCTTGAAGTGCCTGTAAACGGTGAAAATTGGACCTTTGACCTGACCTGTGACGTCATCGGGTTGACCTAGGTCAATAAAATTGGGTCACAAGGTAGTTCCCCGTTGGGGCTATCCAACGCCGTTTACCGCTTGTCGCTATGTTGCGTGGTTCTCGAGATCTTAGGGGGGGGGGCCAAAATGGCCCCCCCCCCCCCAACCGGGCGCGTTGCTCGGCAGAGCCCAACGGGGCGCGGGTTAAGTAAGCAAATAATATTGATTTGTGTGAAAAACAATGTCATTTAAATATTTAAAAGTATTTATTTGTAATGGTTCAAGGGAAACATTTTTGTGAGTAATTGTCTCGATTTTGACCATTAAAACGGGTATTGTATTTTTTGACGTCATCAAATAGCTCCAAAAAAGAAATGTAATGTTTTCATTCCGTTCAAGGCCGCTGAAGAAACGCGGGATCTTGCGTGGGACATTGTCCGTTGTTTGCCGCGCAGAGTTGTGCCGTGGTTGTGCCTTTTTCATCCGTTTCTTACTTATGTCATATGTGTGCATGAAGCTTTGATTTTGTTTTTGGTTATTGTGTGGCCGGTCAGTCAAACGCCCCTGTAGAAACCGGATGCTGCGTTTGATCGAGATGGAGTCAGACGATGATTGCAGAAAGCTAATAATATTGAAAAGAGGGCCGGTTGCGTGGCATGTCTGTTCAGAGTTGACATTTTGCTTTACTCCAGTTTATGACCTGAGAGCCTGGCTGGAAGTGACGGATCCAAACTTTTCACGTTAAAATGGCTGAGGGTGCAATAATCTCTAGTCTCTACATAGCGGGCTGGTATAGGAGCGTCTTGCTATGCTGCACCATAGCTGGCTAGTGATTCTCTTTTGGCTAGAAATGGCATTAATCATTATCTCCACTGGCGAAAATGGCACTTGACATCACCGAATGCAACGTTCATGTTGTTAGGATACATAAAATCAGGAAGATTACGCGAATTAGGTAGGCAAACGTGGAATAAAATAGGTGCTGGATGTTTTGGTTTTGGTGCTGAATCAGCAAACAGCAAATACGGAGTTCAACTAGACGATCTGGCAACTTTAGGCTGTGTGGAAGCAATTAGGTGCCAGATTCAGATATTAGGGTCGAATAAGCATTTTGGGGCTGATCAGCAATTAGGTGCCAGAAACAGCTTTTTAGGGACCAGAAACAAATATTGCCCTTTTAAAAGTGCGACTTCGTCTTTTAATGGGTCCTCCCGTCGGCGATATGAATAAATAAATAATTAAATAAATAAATAAAACATCCGATGATTGTATGTCGAAATGCTTACTTCGCATGCATTTCTGTGTATAGCAATGTTTATCGATATTTGATGGCTGCCTAAAGTTTCAGAAATGTGACTGCTACAACTTTGCGTAGGTGCTGATTTATAAAATATACCATAATAAAATACCATAGAAATGCTTACTTGGCATGCATTTCTGTGTATAGCAATGTTTATCGATATTTGATGGCTGCCTAAAGTTTCAGAAATGTGACTGCTACAACTTTGCGTAGGTGCTGATTTATAAAATATACCATAATAAACTCGTTTCTTGTGCAGATATTGTAATAAATGATAACAACATTCTACATAACACGTGCTGGCCGGCAGGTTCACACGTTCCTGGCCACTGTGCCAGAGTTCCGCGGCAAATCGCGCCACGGTCTGTACGGGGACAGCGTGCTGGAGCTGGACTGGGCGGTCGGTGAGATTCTGTCGGAACTGCGCCGACTCGGACTGGCAGACGACACGATCGTGTACCTGACTTCGGATAACGGAGGGCACCTCGAGGAACGCGGAGCTGCCGGGGATGTCCAGGGCGGCTACAACGGACCCTTGCGCGGTAAGGGTGGAGATGACCTGCTCGGGAGGGCGTGGATGGACGGAGAGTCGGTAGCGGTCAGTTATGCACGGAACGGTGGCTGATAGAAGGCTTGGGCCGCTCACTGCTTCGTGCCTGTCGCCACCGTTATTTTGCAACTTATCGCCACATGCAACTTCAATTCGCCGAGTCATAGTACGTTGTTGACATGCGGCATTGCTAGTCATCTTGTGCGCTATAGACTGCGTCGTATGTTTGTTTCATCCCAATGGCAATACGAGTCGCATTCTAACGAGGATACTCGTACCTAATTTACACATTTTTTACTTGAATCATAATTCTTACGTTAGCCGACCTTCAAACTTTAGCTAATCAACCAACAAAGCATCTTTATTTACCGTGCACTTCTAACCCCATCTGCCCGTATCCACCGGGCTGGCAATCATCCCTTCTGCACTACGTCTAACCCCCGTTCTGCCCTCTCCCCAGGTGGTAAACTGATGGGCGCCATGGAAGGGGGTATCCGCGTACCGACTCTGCTGCGCTACCCCCCGCTGGTCCGGCCCGGTACCACCATCGACGCGCCCGTGTCACTGATGGACCTGTTCCCGACCGTACTCAATGTGGCGGGGATTGATATGAAGGTGAGTGGCGTTGAGGGGAGGCGGGGGAGGTGGGAGGGGTTTTGCGTATTTTTCGTCCGGTGGCAGGAGTGGACAGCTATCCAAATTTTAGCTGTAGTGTATGTAGGTAGAGTATACAATGTTGTCCCAAATAAGGTACGAAACGTGATATGTGCTAAATTTACAGCTACATGTTTACAACGATTATCTTTTAAAACGAATAGAAGTGTAAAGTACAACTCGAATTAATCATTTAAAAGTTATGCTTATTTGGTGTGTTTATGCTTATTTGGTAACGAGGCTAGTCCATTTTCGTGTATTAAATGCTGATTACATAAAGGGATAGTGATCGAATCTGTATTCACCCGGTGAAAGTATAACTGAACTTGCTGGATGTCTCCGGCGCGCTGTTCCGCTCCTCCCGGCGGCCCGGGCCGCCGTATTGCGTCTCGCTCAGTCATGGTGACGTCGTTACAGACCGAGCGGCCGGGAGACGCGGCCTATCACGCGGCGGCGGTGGCCCCGCAGCGGCGGTGACCCCGCTGTGTATCGGGGACGGCATCAGAGGCCGACGTCGCGAATGACTCGGCTATAATTGTACAGGGTGGGCGGTGGGCTCTGGCAGAAACTCAAATACCACTGCCTGTGTAGCTTCTACCGACAGACAACAAAGCATGCCGGACTGGACAATGAAATACCGTATCATAATACCGTACCGTTAAATCACTCAGGCCACTACAGGACACAGATTACAAAGGACACATGCACCGCTGAAACCTACCTTAAAGTCAGCCGGCCGGACGGTACACATTTTACCGTGCCTATATTATATTGTTGATTACCTGTTCACATGGTCTTCATTTTAATTGTTTCTTAATTGTTTGCGTAGGTGGGAATCGGTATCGTGTTTTATCATTTGTAAATAATCAGTATCATTCCTGTGTTGATTCGGTATAATTTCTGCGTTATTTCCAGTCGACCTCGGTGGGAGATCGGACGCTGGACGGCCGCGATCTGACGCCGCTGCTGACCGGCCGGGCGGACCGCTCGCCGCACGAGTTTCTCTTCCACTACTGTACCGATGTGATCCACGCCGTCCGCTGGATGGAAAACGGTGAGCGGGTTTGAGGGGCGCTGGGTGAGCGGCACTTGGGCGCGCTGTACTGTATTGGGGTTCTGGGGCTGTGAATGAGCAGTGCACAACACTGAGTGACTGCTGAATTCCTCATCGCTGTCGTAACTCAGGATGGGCCCGGCTTATCGTGGCACGATGTGAGAGGCTATCGATCTCTTCTGTAATCTGTCGAAGAGTGTTACATTCTTACCTAATGATATCGTTTTAAAGTGTTCAGGCTCCCACTTTTCATTTGGTTGTTACTTTGCGGACTGCCTTTGGGTATTAATGCTGAACATGGCCTCCAATATTACGAACACAAAACAATTAAGCTTTCTGAAATTTATTGGATAAAATTTTTACGTCGTATCCATCAGTTTGTTGATACTGAATTGACAGGCGTAGCATTGGTGGAACGCGCTGAGTGTACCCGCATTTTGTTACTCTATCCTGTCTGACACTTTATGACCTGTCCGTTACAGCCAGCACCACCTGGAAGGTACAGTTCTACCTGCCGAACTGGCTGCCGGGCACCGAGCGCTGCCACTTCGCCTGTCTGTGCTCTGAAGCGCGTCGTCTCGAGACGCCACTCATCTACAACATCCAGCAGGACATATCGGAGCGCCGTCCTCTGCCGGTGGGCTCTGAGCAGTACCGGCGGGTGCTGGAGCGGTGCCAGCGCGCGCGAGACGAGCACCTCGCCGGCGTGGAGCCCGCACCCGATCAGCTGACCTGGTCACAGTTTATCTGGAGGCCGAGTCTGCAGCCATGCTGCTCGCTGCCCTACTGTACCTGTGAGGATCCCAAGTACCCACAGCCGTACTAGCTGGTGTGGTTCGGTTTTTGAGTACACCGCGATACTCAGCCTAGATTACGGCGACCTGTGAGAGGTCGATGTATCGGAGGGTTTAGTTGTTGTAGCCGCGTAATGTTAAAGGATTGGTCACAATTCACATAGTCGGTATTTCAGGGAACAGAACATCGAAGTCGCAAATTTCGTGTAGCATTTCTTTGTCTCTGGTAGACAGCTTACACTGTTCCATGCCAACCTATGACACAGGGAATGAGATCGGGGCCAAGTTATACCTAACGTGCTTCCTAGTATGTATTGTGAAGAGGAGGCTAATTGCTTTATTCAGGTTGATGTGTAGTAGTGGTAGAAAATTTATATAATCATTACGTAAATGATGATATATTTTTGTGATGTGATGTTTATGTATGTCTGATTTTTTTTTCTACTGATGACTATGTGATCATTTGATAACTATTTCAAATTTCTGATGTGCTGTTGTATGCATGGCTGTCGCCTGTTACTGCACTGTTCGTGAGTGCTCTCTGTACGAGCCACGATGAGTCATTTTCTAATGCATAGAAGAATATATAAATAATGATTGCACTTATATCGAATAAACGTCTGTATGTGCCTTTCCTGGATTTCTTTGGCACCATTTTACGCCCCCGCTGCTCTAACGAAACGACAGATACGTTTTTCGGATGGTTACGAAATGACACTGTTGCCTGTTGGGGATGAAATGACTATATTAACTATGTAGTGTTATGGAATCCGAACTGATATCTGTTGTATACAATGGCCAGGTGGAACGTAAACTTTATTTTACACAAAATGGCGGAGTCACGTGAGGTCATGTGAAAAGCACTAAACAACTGCCATAGCGAACACTACACCCGCCGGCCCTTGAAGTTACACTTCTCGCCGATCACGTAAATCGGCGCGGCAAGAATCGGCGGCGTCCTCGGGAGGAGGCCGGCAACTCACGGCGCGGGGTGCCGCCGACGGGCGCCCTCTGAGGCGGGCGCGGCCCACCGGGGGACCGGTCACGAGCAGCGCCGGTGGCGGCCGGCAGCGCGACGTCAGCGACATCTGACGGGCGGGCGCTCTCTGTCGGCGCTGTAGGTGGCGCGGTGGACGCTGTCGGCTGCGGCGATGGCGGCTGGGGCTCGCCGGAGCTCGGAGGAGCCGGGTCGGCCGGCGGCGGCGGCGGCGGCGGTTCCGGCCCGTCGGTGCTCGGAGGTGCTGAGCCGGTCGGCGCCGCGTCTGGGATGCGGGCGAGGTGTGCAGCGTTCCTCTTTGTCCCGTCGGACAGGATGAAGGTCGCCGGGCCGAGCTGTCTGGCGATTCGGCGCGGGCTGGAGAACCGACTCTGGTTCTTAGGCACGTGCCCCTGTCGCCGCACGCGCACCGTGTCGCCAGGCTGGAGATCTGACGGCCGGGTGGCCTGTCGCGAGTCGTACCCGCGGCTGTTGCGCTGCTGCTGGGTAGCGACTCGGTGCTGTAGCGAGCTGTCGCGCGGCGGAGTCTCTGTGGTGACCGGCAGGTGCAGACGCATGCGCCGGCCGTGCAGGAGCGCCGAGGGTGACTGGCCGGTGGTGCAGTGCGGGGTCGCTCGGTACAGAGCGAGGCGCTGTCGCACGTGTCCGCTGAAGCTGGCGGCCGTCCGCGACTGCAGCTGTGTGGCCTCCTTGAGCCACACCTTCACCTCTCGGTTGAGCCGCTCCACTGCTCCGTTTCCGCGCGGCCAGTAGACGGCAGACGTGTGGTGTCTGATACCGCGCTGGGCCAGATACTGTCGGAACCTGTCGCTGGTGAACTGGGGTCCGTTGTCTGTCACCAGCTCGTCACACAGTCCCTCTCTGGACCAGGCCTGGCTCAGGAACTGGATGACGTCATCAGTCTCGATGGATGACGTCAGAGCGACCTCTGGCCACTTACTATGGTAATCCGTCATAGTAATGGCGTATTTTGCAGACGGTGGGGCGCCGGGGATCGGGCCCACGATGTCCAGTCCGAGCTTAGACCAGGGCCGGTCTGGAAGCTCGACCGGTTGCAGCGGCGCGGGGCGCGCCTGCTGCGTCAGCACGGCGTCCTTTGCGTGGCAGGACGGGCAGTCGGCGACCAGTGCAGCGGCGTCCTTTGACATTCCAGACCACCAGGCGAGGTCGCGGAGGAGCTGCTTTGTTCGCACGACACCATCGTGCGCTCGGTGCGCCAGTTGGAGGTACTTTGAGCGGAGCGCGGCCGGGACGACGGCGCGGTCCGGGCCGCGCAGCACGACTCCGTCCTGGCGGACTTGCAGCTCGTTCCGCACGGCGAAGTAGTCGCGCGTCTCCGGCGTGCACTGGCGCGCGGCGTCGGGCCAGCCGGTGCGGATGACAGACCGCAGCTGCTCCATGACTGGATCGGCGGTCGACGCGGCACATACGTCGTCATCAGTGATGACGTCACTGACGTCATCGGTGAGCAGGGCGACGATCTCGTCGCCGTCCGTCTCGGCGGCGCCGGTGTCCGGCAGCGGCAGCCGCGACAGGGCGTCAGCCACTGGGATGCTGCGCCCGGGCCGGTACTCCACTGTGTACGAGTACGGCAGCAGGCGGGACTGCCACCTGGCGATGCGCGCGCCGGCGCGGTTGGACGTCTTCGGCGTGAGCAGAGTGGTGAGCGCAGAGTGGTCCGTCCGCAGGGTGAATGAACGGCCCCACAGGTACGTCCGCCAATGCTCGACAGCATTGACCGCGCTGAGGGCTTCCTTCTCGGAGACGGAGTACCGCGACTCGGCGTCGGTGAAGGAGCGGGACCAGTACGCCACCGGCCGCTCCTCGCCGTCCGGCTGGATCTGAGTGAGCATGGCACCGGCGCCGCGGTCGCTGGCGTCGGTCGTCACGATCGTCCGGAGGCAGGCGCTGAAGGGCTTCATCACCGGCCTGGCTGAGATGAGCCGTTTCACCTCGTTGAAGGCGTCGTTGGCCTCCTTGGTCCACTGGAACGTGGCGTCCTTCTTCAGCATGATGGCGAGGGGTCTCACCACAGCGGAGTACTGAGGCACGAACCTGCTGAACCAGCCGGTTGAGCCCAGGAGACTGCGCAGCTCCTTTACGTTGGTGGGAGGCGGGGCCTCGGCCACGGCCTTGGTGGTAGACAGGAGAGGTACCACCCCGTGTCTGGAGAGCTGATGACCGCAGAATTCCACCTCTGGCTGGCTGAAGGAGGACTTCTCTGTGTTGATTGTGACATTTGCCTGCTTGAGGCGGTCCAGCACGGTGCGGAGGCGCCTGTCGTGCTCGGACTGATCACGGCCGGTGACCAGGATGTCATCCAGATAGTGTCCACAGCCGTCGATACCCTGCAGTAGATGACTGAGCAGTTTCTGGAACGCGCTGCCGCTAGACACCAGGCCGAACGGGACCCTGGTGTAGCGCATCAGGCCGTCTGGCGTGAGGAAGGCGGTGATGTCACGCGAGTCCTCGTGCAGACGCAGCTGGTGGTAGGCCGACTTCAAGTCGATCCTGCTGTAGAGGGTGCCACAGAGCTTGGACTCCAGCTCGTCGATCGTGGGCAGTGGGTGAACCTCTGGGACGATTTGGCTGTTCGGCCCACGCAGGTCTACACAGACCCTGATCCTGCCGTCCTTCTTCCTTGAGACGGTCAGCGGGCTGATCCACTGAGAGGAGTCGATCCTCTCGATGATGCCTGCTTCCAGCAGACTGTTCAGCTCTGCTGAGACCTCCTCTCGCACGGAGAGGGGCAGCCGGCGCAGCTTGTAGGCAGTTGGTACTGCGTCCGGCTTCAGCTTGATGCGGTGGACGTAGCCCTCGATGGCAGGTAGCTCTGACGGGGCTGAGCCTGCCACCGTGTAGACGCTGTGCGAGGCTGGGTGGAGGGTGACTCCCAGGGCCTGCAGCAGGTCCATGCCCATGATGGCCTCCGTCTTGTTGGTGTCCACCAGGTAGAAGTTTGTTGGCACAGCCTGATTGTTGTAGGTCACCGTGGCAGGCAGCGTTCCCAGGACTGGGAGTGGCTGCTGGCCGAATCCGTAGAGCCGTGAACTGGAGGGGCTGTACGCCACGCCTCTGAACAGCTCCTTGGCACGGTTCACACTCAGGAGTGAGCAGGTGGCACCCGTGTCCACCTGGAGGGGTACCTCCTGTGTGACGTCACCTGCAGTCACCTGGACGGTACAGGTGAGGCGTGACCCAGTGGTGGCAGCACAGGAGAGCACGTTCAGCTCCTTCACTGCCTTGTGGTGCTGTCGTTGAGCTGGCCTTGCTGGGGTTGCTCCACTGCCGCCTCTGCACCAGCTGGCGAAGTGGCCCTTCTTTCCGCAGGAGTGGCAGGTCACTCTGCGGGCTGGACAGGCAGCATCCCTGGGTGCGTGATCATCACGTCCGCAGTTGGTGCAGAAGTCGCTGCTGGAGCTCTGCTGCTGCTGCTGCTGTCGCTTCTGTTGTGGCTTCCTCGTAACTTTTGCCACAGATGAGACCGGTGGGGCTGCAACTGGTTGGGAGATGGCTGCAGCCTCCCGCAGGGAGTCCTCATAGGTCTCTGCGACGCTCAGGACCTTGTCCAGAGTGAGGTCCCTGTCCTGAAGAAGTCGCTCCCTCAGGCGCTGGTGGGGGGTCTTCTCCACCACCACGTCTCGGATGAGTTCTGACTCCATTTGGCCGAACTGGCAGGTGCGAGCCAGGCCGCGCAGAGCAGCAACGAAGTCTGCTGTGGACTCTGTGGGGGCCTGGGCTCGCTGTCGGAACCGGAATCGTTCCACGATGACGTTGGTCCTGGGAGTGTAGAACTCCCGGAGCTGGCGGAGGGTCACATCGTAGTCGTCCTCGCCGTCACGTTTCGCAACCGGCGGCAGGGTGTCGAACACCCGGTACGCCTCGTCACTGATTGCGCACAGAAGCAGAGCGCGCCGCTGCTCGGGGGGCAGGGGGCTCGTGCCGCACCTGGCCAACAGATAAAGTTCGAATTTTTGTTCCCAGTTCCTCCACGGGACGGCCGGCGTCCCGGGATGGGGCAAAAACGGCGCGGGTAGGGGCGGTCCACTGTCGCCGCTCATGGCCGTACCGCGGGCCGAAACACAAAAAAAAGTTACACGGAAATTCGCGACACGCGATTCCACTAGAGTCCGCACTGATCTCGTGCTTAGTCGCCAAAATGTAGTGTTATGGAATCCGAACTGATATCTGTTGTATATAATGGCCAGGTGGAACGTAAACTTTATTTTACACAAAATGGCGGAGTCACGTGAGGTCATGTGAAAAGCACTAAACAACTGCCATAGCGAACACTACAAACTATCATTGGATAACTTTGAAAATTGTGAACCCAGATTTAGTCTTGCTGCGATACCAAACCTATCAGTCAATGAAATTAATTTTTGCATCTTTTTTTAAATATTGCATCATTTTAACTACTTGTTTCGTTCAATTATGGCGCACGAAATACAATTCCGTCAATCGACAGCATCCAATAACAATATTTTATTCAGTGTATTTCGCGGATATTTTTCCAGAGTTTGATACCACAATGATCTGCATGCGAATGTAGGTGATATTATTTGTGTTTACTCTCGTAAGAAGTTCGGGCAGATCTTACTGGATGACGATTCATTGTGAGGGGATTTGATTTAGATTGAAATGAGACACGATTGCAATTGAGATGGAGAACAACATATTAGGCAAATCAGGTTACATCACGGTTACATCACAGTGTATATAAATTGGTTACATCACATATCAGCAATCTTTATTTTTGTTGTTATATACACTTTGTGACTGGTGTTGTGTTGCAGTGACGAGTGATGACTGACAATGACAAGTGGTGTTTGATTTCATATTTCAGGCAATAGTGGGCAGTGGCAGTGCAACAACTGAACCAACAGCATAATTGTTTGTGGTATCAACCTCGTGCCTTCATTTGAGCTGCAAACCCAAAGCCATGGAGCCTGTGCCTCTGCCCGGGCCATTCTCGCCGGCGGGTGCCCGCTATGGTGGTGGCTCACCCTTTGTGAACCCAGTCTGTGGTCACTGGTCGTGCCCTCTGACGGTGGCCCATCACCACTGTCGTCAGTGTGGCTATGGAGGCACTGAGGTGGGTAGGACATTACTGCTTTCTGTGATATGAGAAGGCCATGGCCTTCAAGCATCCCTGAGCTGGCTGAGCTTAACCAAAGCTGGACTTTTCCATCATCAATTTGAATCAACTTGGTCATTGATTTGTCATGTCTTTTGCTCTTCCACCATAACTGTGCTGTGCTTGATTTGAATGTGCCATAATCTGCATAAGACTTCAGTCATGGCCCATCAACATATTCCCCTACACATAGCACTTCTGCCATCTGTTGTCAGGTCGGCCAACTGAAGCTTCACAACTGCCGCCCCACCTACCTATCGGAGCTAGCGCCGCCCGGGCCTGCGGCGTCGCTTTTCCGACCCCCTCCGCCCTCCGACTACTTCCGATCGGGCCCAGCCGAGCAGACTGGTCAGTATGTGCGTGTGTGTGTGCGTGAAGGGGACGTCTGAGCGCGCTTGGATCGTTTTTTAGTAACTGCACTGTCCAAAAATTTGGCAGTTTAATGTGTTATGTAAAATTGCTACACCTAATTCTAATGCGAGTATCTACCAGCTCGACTTTGATAAGTATTTATGTACCGTATCCGAGCATACCGCTGTCATGCCACCCTGTACATCTCTCTTGATGATGCTCTATCATTTGTGACTCCCTCCCTGCACTCTGCAGAATACGGCCGGCTGGCCTCTCGGTCACTGTTCGCTCCCGCCGCGATGATGTCGGGCCCCGCGGCAATGATGCCGGGTCAGTACTTCCCGGCGCCGCCGCCAGGGGCGCCAGTGTTCCGGCCTCCGGTACCGTCTCCGCCGCCACCGTCGCAAAGAACGGTCTCAGGTCAGTTAGACTGCACCGGAAAGGATGCTCTATGTCGTACAAGCGGACTATTTGTTTCGCAGTTGCGTGTCAGGATGGCTCTTTATTCGAACTATTGTTCATATTTCATTTGAATATATATTTATTCTTATAGCGATTCATGGCTTATTTCAATAATTTCATTGACTAATTCGTTCTCGTTTCCAATTCAGATGAAATTGACTTTGAGAGATTCATTCCGATTGTAGTGGAATTTATTGGCAGTTTGTTCGATGGGTCTTAATGAAATCCGAAATAAGGACGAAAATACTGGCATGATAATCAGACCAATTGACTGGTCTTGTGCGATGAGTACTGGATCGTTTTACTGTTGTTTATTTTTAAACTGAGAAGCTTCTTCATCAGAACGATTTCGCCACCAACCATAACACCAGTATAACGCCTTTTGGGGCGACTAACGGAGCGAGCGAGAGGGTGAGCCTTGCACGTGCGAAATTGCGAGGGGGTACCTCCAACTGAGTTGTGCACGGCACCCTACTAACCGGTCTCTAGCGGTGTGCCAAATTTGAGCACAATCGGCCCAGCCGTTCTCGAGATCTGGAAGCGGCACCCTGCACGTGCGCACGTGCAAAATGGGTCCCAACTGACTTTTGCACGGCACCCTACTAACCGGTCCCTAACCATGTACCAAATTTGAGCGCCATCGGTCCAGCCGTTCTCGAGATCTGGAATCGACCCCTGCACGTGCGCACGTGCAGCAGCACCCCAATTCTGGCACATGGATATGATATGCATTGCCTAGTGGGTGCCTACCTACATGCCAACTTTCAGCGCAATCGGCCAAGTAGTTACCGAGATATTGCAACAATTACAAAAGTGACACCTCTTCGTTTTGCACGTGGCACGTGCATAAGGGGTCACCCACATGCATCGGGAATAGTCCAATACTTGGTAGAAGGAATGAAGCTACCCTACAAAAATTACCGCATGTAAATCGGTCAAGTGGTTGCTGAGAAATAAGCCTCGCAAAAGCGTGACCACGGCCGGCCGGCCGCTCATACTCAGAAATTTCCGTTAATCTAAGGAAAGACTACGCTCGCTTCGCTCGCTCCGTAACAAACTGTTATTCGGATTGCAGGTTTATTATGGTCGTAAATCGCCATAAATTGCCACAACTATCTCGGATTGTGTTTGAGTCGCTCATGTAAATGTCGTTAGTCGGTTTATAAATGACGCCGTAGCTTTCCTCGTGCCCGACTGTGGGCAAGGCTCTTCGGAAGCACCTAAGCATTAGGCATATCTAGTATCTAGTGACTCATATGAGCTACAATAGCGGCAATGTCTTTGCCGATCTTATACCAATAATGCTACCAAGACGTTGATGTGCACGGTCAAATTATTGTGTCGAATGTTGCTGGTTAATCGCTAGTTTATACGATCTTGTTAACCATATTTTCCCTAGCTGGGTGTCCCAGAAATTATTCTGTGACTCACCACAATCGAGGCTGTATATCAGTTTGCTTCAGCATTGATGTCGCTCCTCTAGATTCTCTGCGCGTTGAGTTGACGACCCCATGACTCCCTTTCTCATCCCAACAGAAGTAACCGCCCCTCTGGACTTTTCGTCCGAGCGGCGGCCTCCTTCGCCCGCCTCCCGGGCCGTGAACCCACTATACCCTACCGTGGGATACGGTGGCTATTGGATGTCGGATCCAGCGGG